AGTTGTGTTTTAACTACAATAGGGTAGAAAAGTTCCTTTTTATTTTTTGGGTCTGCCCCCCCCCCCCACCCCCCAACCCTGTTATGTGAGAATTAAAGACTCTGGAAAACTTTGACCAGCAATCAAAGCAGTGTTGCAAGGTACTATGCTGTCGCCACAGCATACACCCTGTTCCAAGAGAAGGAGCTCTTATCCAAGGCCAGAGTGGCTCTCCCACAGCAAAGTTGAGCCTTAGCCACCAAAAGATGATGGACCAGCTCTGCAAGTTCCCAGCTAGAGTTTCAAAGTGTTTTGTCCCGTTTAGTGATAGATTCCAAATGGCTGTGATTAGTGAGAGCCAAATCTTGAGGCTGAATATTGACTTCAGCTAAACTTAAGTTTAATTTTCAAAGGGAATAAAGAGTGCATTTGGGTTTTCAAGAGTGGGAGACAGGCAGGAAAGCTGAAATGGAGCTTCTTTGAAGTTTGACTTCCTTTTTCTTTCAGTGGGGTGTGATAGCATCTAGAAAATCAATATTAACTCTTTAGCTGATGGCTGTTTCCTCTCAGCTCTCTGGCCCTGTTCGTCTCCTTTTTGGATGAGATAGAGATGAATGTGGAAAGGCAGGCCCTGCAGTGTCCTCCTTTCTCTGTTGATTACTGCTGTAAATGCATGCAGCCCTGAGAGAACCAACCTGAAGTTTCTCAGCAGTGCTGGCAAAAGCAAATGTGCTTCCGGGGACGAAGGGGCTGCCAAGAAAGAGAAGTGTATGAGCTGCAACAGACAGCCTTGGAGGCCTGCTGGAGGTGTCTGGGAGGTGTGAGGGCTTGTGCTGGAAATGGCCAAGTAGTACTTACCTTGGAGGCAAAGAAAGCAGCAGCCAGCCCAGCCTTCCACAGCTGTGGCATTGGCAAAGAAGGAATCCTATGAAAACCACTTAGAAGTCTCCACTTCATCTAGTTCTGGCTTTAACTCATGCAGTGATATCATGCTTCTCCATAGTTTTGTTGGCAAAGCACCACTGAGAGTCAACCACAGAAAGGGAAATATCTCAAGAAAGGGAAGGAGAACATAGATAGAGGAGAGGCAAGGAGGCAACTTATTTGAAGATGTAATATACTTTCTATCTCAAGCTTTGAGAAAAGTATCAAGGCATGATTGTCCTGTCATAAATATATAGAAGGAGAGTGTTTAATATGGTGTTTGAATCCATCATCTTCTAAATATATGGATGGTGTTAATAAAAGCAACTTGCATCTGCCTTTGACTTTGAGTGAATGTTAGGAAGTCTGCCAGTCCATGGAAGGTATGGTACTGATTCTTCCACCTTGAAAACTGACTATGTGGTGTCATCTATATGTCATTTTACAGGTAAAAGGACACAGGAAAGAAGATGGACTGGGGAGCTCTGCAGGCCATTTTAGGAGGGGTAAATAAACACTCCACCAGCATCGGAAAGATATGGCTCACAGTCCTGTTCATCTTCCGTATCATGATCCTGGTTGTAGCTGCAGAGAGAGTCTGGGGAGATGAACAACAAGATTTTGTCTGCAACACACTTCAACCTGGGTGCAGAAATGTTTGCTATGACCATTTTTTCCCTATCTCTCATATCAGACTCTGGGCCCTGCAGCTGATCTTTGTTTCTACACCTGCGCTCCTGGTGGCCATGCATGTAGCTTACACCAGGCATGAGAAGAAAAGGCGTTTCAGAAATGGTGAGAAAATTGATATTGAAGAGCTGAAAAATGAGAAGGTTCACATCCAGGGCCCCCTGTGGTGGACATACACCAGCAGCATCTTCTTCAGGATCATCTTTGAGGCCATCTTCATGTATGCGTTCTATTACATGTACAATGGGTACCAAATGCCTCGCTTGGTGAAGTGTAATGCATGGCCCTGCCCCAACACAGTGGATTGTTTTGTTTCTCGGCCCACTGAGAAAACAACATTCACTATTTTCATGCTTGCTGTGTCTGGGATCTGCATGATGTTGAATCTGGCTGAATTGTGTTACCTAGTGATAAAAGTTTGCATGAGAGAACGCAGGAAATCAACCGCTTTAAAATAATTTCCCCGGTATCAGGATTTCCTGGCTCACTATTTTCCGCAAACTTCCTTAGGTGTCAGAAGACAATCTGCAATATTTCCATGCTCAAGGAAAAGGATAAAAATGACAAGTCATTCCTAATTTTAAAATGATAGCCTCCCTAGAAAGCTGCCACTGAGCTTAGTTCATGAGCTAATTCAGTATTCCCTTATCCACAAGTAAAGAGAGCAGCCTTTTGGCAGCAACTTTTCCAAGCATGTCTGCTGCTGTGATTCTGTTGATGGGATAGAGCCACTTTTCAAAAAGTGGGAAGAGACCAGAGAAGGCTCTGGTGCCCGAAGGAGAGGCAGAAATCACAGATTGCCTGCATTGCACTGGTCAGCTTCAGGGGCAAGCCAGTAACAAAGAGTTTTGATCAAAGTGGGGTGAAGGGTTTTTTGGAGAACTTGCTGCTTGTGAAAGGCAGGAAGACAGAGAGCCAATCATTTTTATAGCAGGTGTATTATTCTTTCTCTAAGCATTTTTGAGAGCAAGAAAAGGGACTAGGAACACAAGCACTCCATGACAACACACATGCCAACAGCTCCACTGGGGACCAGCAATATTTTAGCTTTTTAGCTCCTCACCTGCACTGAGGAGTCCCCCAACAGGGCTAGAGGAGGCCAATCTCTGCTGGTTATAAATGTCATAACGTCATTGCAACCTCCCTCGATTCACAGGGGCTGCAGCAGTGGGAGGAATTAAGTATATTTTTTTCATTCTCTTGGGCAAGTGAAAAAAGGCTTGTTGCCTTGGAGAAGGAGGGGCAGTGGGACTGCCTCCACCCGGCTTGCTCTCCCACAACATTTTGCGGAGACCCTCAGTACAATAGAATTTATCTGATGAAGAGAATTTTTAACCACTTGGCTGGGCCTCCTTCAGCTGTGTATCTTTAAAGATTTTCTTCAGTACAGAACAAGAAAAATTGCCTCATTGTTTAATTCTGTTTGTTATCCAGGACAGCATGCTATACAGTGAATTACACCTACCAGTGCTCTTTCTATCGGTCATCAGTTTTATGGAAGCTTTTCTCCACAAAACCCTCTCCTTATCTGAGGTGCCTTTCAAGGTAGTACATCAAACCGCTCCCTGCCTCTTCAGTATCCCATATCATGAGACTGAATCATCCTTCCTCTTCTTACTGTATGTCCGGCAAGAATTATAGGCCCCTTGCAGAGCTAAAATTGCAAAGTGTCTCAATTAGAAATGAGGGGGAACTTGATATTTCTCTTAAATTTCACATTACTAAGCTGTGAATTACGTGTTACTAACTGGAAGAACTACGGTGAGTCAGTCAGGTCTTGTCTGTCTACAATCGTCCCAAAAGGCATTCAGGTTTATGCTTGTCATAGGCCGTTACACCAGCATGTATAGCAATGCCACATATCTCCCAAGTGCCTGCCTATTGAACCCACTTGTAGAACGGTGCCTATTTCTCCTCATTGGCTTTAATAACTAGTTTTCCCTTTAAAAGAATGAGCACTAGCTCAGCTCCTCTTTTTGCATCCACCAGCTCCTCCAGTACACTCAAGTTTACCACCGTTGAAGTAAAAAAGATGCATTAATTAAGGCCCATGACCTCTCACTATGCCCTAGAAATGTAGCATAAGCAGGCTCCCACTGCTGGTGTGCTACAATCCAGTGTTACAGCTTAACTGCTGATGGAAGTATGGCAGCTAATAGAGGAGCAGGAAAAAAAAATCTAAGCGGCATCCTCAGAAGCATGAACAAAAAACATGGAAAGTCCTTAATAATGAGCTGAACTGAAAACTCGGTCTATGAAAAAATCCTTAATTCAACTCTAAAGAACAAAGCTTGGCACGTATTAGATTTGTGCTTGGTAGCGTTCCTGCATTGTTCATGTACACGTACAAAGAGAACAAATTATCTACGCTCCCAGTGCTCTAGTATTACATTTATTTTGTAACAACAAGATTTTTATTTTCTTCTGAAACCATAATTACAGCACTCTTGTGGTGCCTGTGGTTCTGTATTACTTGCATGTACCATGTATTACTTAACGTGTTTAATGAAAATTTGTTTACCATAATAGACCATGTATGCACCAATGCTACATTTAATAGCCAAGAGCTACTGTAAGCGTTTTAGACTTCTACTGCAGGTTAGCTTCCAGGTGGTTGCCCTGCTTGTTGTCCTGCAGACTTCATGAGCTGCCAATGACCTGTACTGGAAATCAACAGTGCTGTCTAAATCCATCTTGTACTAGCAGAGCTGCAGCTGGGAAAGGCTGCTGATAAATAACTTATCAGCTCCGCAAGACAGAGATTGGTCTCCCAGTCTGCCTTTGATTGGAATTTATAAAAAAATGAGACACACCGAAATTGATAGCACTATTTAATTATCTTCAGCTAGCAGTTTGGCAGCTGGATATCATGAAGGGGACAAAGAAAGAAATTGGGTAAGTGACTGGAAGTGGCCCGGAAAGGGCTTTGATCCAGAATTGTAGCATCAGTGACAATAAGTCTGTCAGGATATTTACTATCTGTGAGACTTCTTTTCTGTTTGTATTTGACTAAATAGCTGCTTTGTACGAGAAAAAAAAATCCGCAACTTCATAGGAACTAAGCCCTTTGCACCTATTTCTGTGTGCTATATTGCATGGTTGACTTCCTGCCAATGGATTTTATACAGATTAAAATACAATGCTGTACTGGAATTGTGTCTGTGCTTTTCTGAAATACACTAGAAATGTTTACCTTTTTGGCACTTGGTTCCTAGGCTCTTTTCACAATGAAAGTTGCAAGGCTGTTGACGCCTGAAGCAGCAAATCTGAAATGATGACTCTAAAGGAGGCTCATTCATTACAGTCCAGTGTAAAATGTAGCCAGAATATAAGGTGTCCAATAGTGTGATATGAGAACTAGGAAGTGTAGGAGTGGGACAGGCTAGAATTATACCTGAAATCACTAGAAATTTGCCATGGACTTCATCAAGGCTAAACTTTCATCCAAAACCTTTACACCAAAACTACAAACATGCTTGGCAGAAAGAAAAAGAAAGAAAAAAAAGCAAACTTCACTTTTAACCGACAGTCAATATTAGATTTTAATAGCTAGAGAAAGAAAAGGCCTTCTCATGAAAGAAGGACTGCATTAAAAGGAAAGCAGGAACCTGTATTTTTGATTTCTGGATGTAGAAGTAACTTTATGAAAGGTTTTCTCAGACAAAAAATAAAATCGTTCAGTTATTTAGCAGTTGCCGTGAGCCAATGTATTAGGGTATTTCCTATCTCATAACAAGTATATAAAAGACAAATGTTGTGGTCCGTACAGCAAGGACTGCTCCTAAACCACTGAGGTTCAATTCGAAATAGCAGCATTGTTAAAAGTTGATTTTTTTCGTAAAAATTCTACTGCAGCAAATATGCAACAGTTAAGAGCACTTTACAACAAACAGCCTTGTGGAAATTAATCTCTTTTTCCCTTACTCACAATTACCTCCCCTGCAGTATCCAGGCTGATATGTTTTACCAGGCAAAAAAAATTGCAGTCAAAGAATTTCACTATATTTTGTGGTCACCTGTTGTAATGTCCAGAACAAAGGGCAGTCACTACCCTTGGTGTTAATTACAGGTTTCTTTGGACTTTTCACTATCTTATTATCTATACAGTCATTTTAAATGGTTTGTAGGAAAGACAGCGGTAAAAGTAATGGTAATTACCCAAGACGTAATGAACTAAGACTAATGGTAATGATCTTCAATTTATTTCAGGAGCTAGATATTTTTTACCATCTGATCATCCCGGCTTCTCCCTGTCATTTTCTTTTATGGGATATGTTTCTCTTCCGTAAAGTTGGCCCAGCTCTGACCTGGCTGTTTTTTTATTTATGCTCTCCTAGCCACCCAAAAAATTCTCTTTAACCTGGGCTTGGAAATGCTTTAAGCTTTACTTGGCAGTCCCAGCTGTGGGAGCAGCTCCCCTGTCTGGCTTTCCACCCTCGTGAACACAGCTTTAGTTACCTCTGGCACGTTAGATTAGTTAATGCTACCTTACAATTCAGCCTCAGAGTTGACTGTACATTCACACATGCCCCTTCCTTTTTTCTGCATTGTAATCACTGACATTAATTCATGATTAATTTTACGTCTGCCTGCTCTATGCCCGCTGCAATCTGTGGTATGTGAATAAGCCCATCTACTAAAAAAATCCTCCGCAAGCACGCTGCCAGGTAGCCAGATGCTTGCGTCAGCCTTCTTGGTAAAAGTATGATGCGGTATCAGTAATGACATTCAGGTGAAAGGACTATGTGTTGAGTGATCTGATAGAGAACTTAGCTGAGCTATGAATCACTGCAGCCTGCAGATGAATAACATTTATTGTGTTCAAATGCTGTTTGCTCTTCGTTTTTTCATTCCATAAAAACTGTATCTCTGAAGCTGCTGTGAATCTGTATCACAAAGCATTGCTCTCACACTGCTGTTTCAAACAGCACCACACACTGAGGGCTAGAGAAGGAGAAAGCACAAGAATGTAGTCAAGGAACGGCCCAGTTCAGTGTACTGCAGAGAACTAAACAGTATTTCTTGCACAGCACAGCACAGCACAGTATCTATGCTAATAAATACTGTAGTGTCTGAGTGCAGTCACACTGGCCCAAAGCAGGTCGAGTTTTTCAGTGGCCTGGCTGTGCTGGGCCAGTTTATCTGTTTAGATAAACACTTACATTTGCTGTTCTTTTTGAAATTATGGCACTATAGGCTTGTCAGCTGGGAAAGAAAATAGCAATCCTAAAATATTTAATTTGGAATCATGAGATTTGATTAAAAAATATTTTTCAGATCATTTTCTACCATTTCAACCTTTAAGACAAGACATAACAAATCCTCTCACACCTCCAAGTGATCCACACATTAGTAGGATTGCTGTACTCTCTTTTTATGGGGTGACTGAAAATTTTCCTGTAAGATTTCCATCCAACTATCAACATTTCTTTTACAGAATCACAGAATGGTTTAGGTTGGAAGGGACCTCTGGAGATCATCTAGTCCAACCCCCCTGCTCAAGCAGGGTCACCTAGAGCATATTTCCCAGGATCATATCCAGACAGGTTTTGAATATCTCCAGCGAAGGAGACTCCACAACCTCTCCGGGCAACCTGTTCCAGTGCTCTGTCACCCTCACAGCAAAGAAGTTCTTCCTCAGGTTCAGGTGGAACTGCCTGTGGTTCAGTTTGTGTCCTGTCACTGGGCACCATGGAGAAGAGTCTGGCCCCATCCTCTCAACACCCTCCCTTCAGATACTTGTACACGTTGATGAGATCCCCTCTCAGTCTTCTCTTCTCCAGGCTAAGCAGGCCCAGCTCTCTCAACCTTTTTTCATAAAAGAGGTGCTCCAGTCCCCTCATCATCTTTGTAGCCCTCCACTGGACTCTCTCCAGGAGTGCCATGTCTCTCCTGTACTGGGGAGAACTGGACCCAGCACTCCAGGTGAGGCCTCCCCAGGGCTGAGTAGAGGGGCAGGATCACCTCCCTCCACCTGCTGACAACACTCTGCCTCATGCAGCCCAGGAGACCATTTGGCCTTCTTGGCCACAAGGGCACATTGCTGGCTCATGGTCAACCTGTTGTCCACCAGCACTCCCAGGTCCTTCTCAGCAGAGCTACTTTCCAGCAGGTGAACCCCCAGCCTGTACTGGTGCATGGGATTATTCCTGCCTAGGTGCAGGACCTTGCACTTGCCTTTGTTGAACTTCAGGAGGTTCCTCTCCGCCCATCTCTCCAG